ACTCAGTATTGACAGGGACTGCTCCAAAAATTCCTCAGATCGCTTGAGACTCATCAGTACGCTGGTATGCCTGGTCTAAATATTCTCTGTTCACCAACCCTCTCTACATTATGACAACCATGCCTGGAAATAAGCATGATCTGACCAATAAAAAGTAGGACTCTTGATATTCCCTCTTCCTAATATCATTTAAGTGGCATCAGTTTCATTAGTGGTCCCATCACACTGCTGGGTCACTTGAAATTGTCACTGTGGTGACAAGGCAGGTCATTCCCATTCTATGTTTATGTAACTGGCTTTATGACCCCTCAATGTATGATTTCATATCTAACAACATCAAATTCAGGCCATCCAAAAGTGTATGAAGAAAATTATCTAGAAAGTTGCCTTAAGGAAATATCTGTATAAAACTTTCTAGACTTTATTTATTCACTCACATTGACTCTAATCTGATGTCTGAAATGGAAAAACAGTCTTTTAGCTGAAAGCTTCAGACAGTAATTTGGAGCATTTTGATACTGAGTGAAACACACATACACACATTTATCATTATATGCAAAATGGTATGTACAATTAGAGCCTTATTTTTGACCTTTAAGATACACTTAGTAATTACTTAGTAATTTTCAATACACAATACTAAATTTTTTTTAAAAACATGTACATTCATAAGAGGATTATTTTTCTAGACATTTGAAAGTCCTTTGACCAAACTTTGGTTTAACTCTTAAATACAGACTGCAATATAATTGATACTAAATAATAATTGTTCATTTACGATCATAAGAAAAACTAACACATAAACAAACAAAAAAGCACAAGATTCTTTTTACACAATCACCTGCCTTCCAGAACTATGTTGTGCCCTGGGCTAGAACATACACAATTCAGGCCAGATTTTACTTTCAGAAACATTTCCCCTTGCAGCTGTTGATGTCTCATAGATATCAGAATAACACTGTGCTTTGAAATGATCTGCTGATATCATTGATTTTCAGGAGAGAAGGGAGGCTCCTCCCACACTGCTCATGACTAAGACGATCTGTGTGGAAACAGGTTCCTGGTTGCTTCGAAATGTATTGGCTCTTGGCTGTTTCCCACTCTACTTGAATCCATAACCCTCTGTCTGCTTGAAATATCATCATTTATCTTCAGAGTCATAGAGTGTTAGGTCACAAAAAACAAGTTATTATCTGAAACTCCTTTTAGAGATTCCTATTACGTGAAGAAAGAGCCAGAGAAACAGTTAAGTAACTAACAAAATTTAAATAGTCATACACTTCTACGCCTCTCTGATCATTTTTATGTGGCTTTAAAAAAAAAAAAAAAAGAAATTCATCATTTTTTTTCAGATTACTAAATACCTGATCATTGTAAGAATGCAAAAAAATTCAGAGGTGTACGAAGTTCCATCGTCATCCCTCCTGTTTCTCCAAACTGTGCCTCTGAGATAACCCATTTTTGAAGCCTGATGAGTATCATTCCATGTTTTGTTAACATGTTTACAAAGTCTTATATAAACATAGATACATAATACATCCAGGTTTGTAATGCAAGCTATTACAAATCTAAAATAATTTTACATTGTTCTATAACATAAACTTCTGGGCTCAAGCCATCTTTCCACTTCTGCCTCCGTAAGTACTAGGATTACAGGTGTGAGCCACAGTGCCTGATTATAATCTGCTTTTAAACTTAACATTATTATCATGAATAGCCTTCCAAGCCAATAGGCAGTTTGACCACATTGTTTTGAGGCACTGCACAGTATTTGACGGAACAAATGTAAAATAATGCACATAACCATCCCCCTTTGGGTGAACAATGTCTTTTCCGGTTTGCTATTACAATGCTAGTTAACATAGTGATACAGATTTCTCTATATATTTATGTTTTTTATTTTATAGGGTATATGCCTACATGTGAGAGTGATATACCAACGTACACATTCTTAATTTTTTAATGTGTTACCTAATTACTCTCCCAAAAGAGTCAACATTGTCAGTGTATACACTCTTTTCCCAACAATTTTGATTATATTGGATGTTGTCAGCTTTTCTAAATGGTGTCAAGATAGTGGGTAAAAATAAATCGTATTTTATTGTTTTAAGGCATACTTCTATGGCACGAGTGTAAATATTCTAAATTGTTATTTTACTGTAGTTCTTATTAAAGGTTATAATCATCACTTGTCAAGACACAGTGAGTTATTTTTCCACACTACTTTTGAAAATCCAGAAGTGCACAAAATTCACATATTTCTTTTTTAAGTGTCCCATGAAATACAAATGTTAACTACTAGCAAACTAGCAAACTTAATACTGCAATTCTTTTATAAAAATTAAACTATGGGTGTTATTGGAATCAAACCATAAGATTCTAATTTTAATCATCTGATCTAAGTGTCAATCGTAACAACCAAAAGAGATCTGCCAATCTCCTAACCTAGCTATCACAGTCAAATTAACAAAAAATTAACAAACAAGACAACAACCAAAATCTATGCAGATTATCACTAAGAATATGATATGATCCAGCGGAGCTCCTTTGAATTGAGGGATAGGGAAGGATTATGTGAGGTGGTAATAATTAAACTGAGATTTGAGCGTCAAAAAGAACGAGGTGAGGGAGAAGAGGAGACTAGGAAGGCATAGACAAGGAATAGAAAGGCCAGTGTGTCTACAAAATAGTGAGAGTGGTAGAGAATAGGAGGATAGAAGGAGGAATTTTAAAGATTAAAAGAGAAGTAGATTTGAGGATAGGAGATAGGAACTAGGGGTCCTGTTTGCACATTTGAAGTTTAAGGCCTATTATAAATCCAAGGGTAGATGAGGATCAGCACCTCAAGAGATGGCTCTAGGGGCCAGGAGGGGGCCAGGATGGAAAATACAGATTTAGCGGACGCTGGCGTCAAGATGCCACTTAAAGCCACTTGAGATCATCTAGGGGTTATCCAGAGAAGCAAAAATTAGTCAATGAAGGTGTAAACAAGGATATAACATCAGTTGAGCACTAGTCAAAAACACAGCAGTATTACACTTTGATTTATGAAAAAAAAAGATTTTAAATATCAGATATATCCGAAGTTGTAATATGCATTATTTTAAATGGCTTGGGAATTCATTATAAGGCACCCACGCTCAGTCATCTTATGATGCGAAAATTTTCTATTAAAATGCCAATAATACCCTCTAAAGAGTGTTTGTGAATTCAGACACTTACGAGGTGGCAGCATTTTAAGTGAGTCATTATTAGAGTGATACAGGTATTAACACAAAATGTTCTGGCCTCAAAAGTGATCACAGAAATCTATCTGTCACAAAACCTTATCCGATACACAAAAAAAGTTTAATAATGCAAGAAATAACAAATAAATAAGCAAAGCTTGTGTGAGAGAGTAACTTAACAAGTGTAAGTACTTTGATTCTGGTGACCTTGGGAATGAGTGTCTCCTCAAATTTTGTACCCCAGGTGATTCTCCTCCCTCAGCCTGGTCCCAGACAAGTTGATTCCCTTTCTTTACCCTAAAGAGACATGCTTCATTTATTCAAATGATTAAAATTCAAGAATGTGTATATATTAATTAAAATGTTGACATCTAAAAGTACAAATTGGAGGTGCTGTGGTCTCAAGAAGCCTTAAAATTATACAAATCCATGACCTAACAAAAATGAAAGTAAACAGACTTCAACTAATAATGTTAATCTCATAATTCATCTCATATCATGTAATTTATTCTTAATCACTTTTGAAAGTAGTTAACACTGTACATCATAACATCTAATATATCTTTAATTTTTCAATCTGTTTACAAGTGTGTTTCCTCTAATAATGACAGTAATAAGGAAAAGGATGGCTTTACAATAAAATTCTAACAAATACACACAAAATTCACTGAAAGATCTGATCTGTTTTGAAGCCATTAAGTAAGTGCCAGGAATTTTCCAAGTAAGTAACTGAAACTCTTAAAACACTTGGAGGCTTGGAAAAAAGTTTTCACATCTCAATACAAGTTTAATTTGTTGATGCATGAATAAGCAATTTTAGCAGATAATCTATTTCCATGATGTTTAAAATGTATTATTTATGATAATATAGATACATTATAAATATGAAATTAATAAATCTTGATGAAATTCCAAGTAATAAATACATAAGACTTCAAGAATTATGATTTTCTTAATTGACATTTTAGCTTTATTCTAAATGAAAACATAATAAGCCTAATACATACACCAGGAGAATACAAAGAGTAAAATAGAATGGACTTAAATAAATTTGCTCAGTTCAGTGACAAAACCAGAAAATGAAGAAACAGTTTACTTTTAAACATCATTCACATTCCTCAGCTTCTAATTGGCTTATTCATAAAATGTGCTGTTTACAGAAAATTTAGTTTTTTCAGCAGTCAACAAGATCTTATTTCAAAGTTCAAAAAAACGTAATTAGAAAAAATAGACACTTTAATTCCAAAAATGCTGTAATTAAAATTAACTTTTTCATATCAAGTAAATTAAACTGCATAGTCTAAAAACTTAAGTTCCAATTCCTAATTCATATTGCAACATGCTAATAAAATGAGGATGAATGAAACTAGCAAAGTCTGTACTTTCCATAAATAACTATATGAAAACTTGAAAAGAGAAGTACAGTATATTTACTCAACAGCAGAAGAAACAGCTAGCACTTTTTAAATGCCATTTATGTAGTTATCTCATCACTCAATACGGGCTAAGTAAATAAATAAAAGACAGCAAAGATTAAAGAAATAAACTCATTAGAAAATAAAACAATGATCAAAGAAATAGTATTCACACAAATTTCAAAGAGGATAGACAAATCATAAACAGAAAAAAAAACTTCCCTATAAGGATAGAAACAGGAAAAAAAAAAAAAAAAGGCAGTAAGTAAAGGTAAGGCAATGTAAATAAGTAGCATGCTTATGCTGCAGACAATGTCATCATGATTAAACTCGAGGTGTGAAAGAGAAAGAGTCTTACCTGAGTGAGGAACACACATGATATATAAAGCAAATAAGAACAGGAGAGGACTGGGCTTCCATTTCCAATGGCAGCTCCACATTCGATCTGAGCGAAACATCCTGCAAAGAAAGAAGATGGCAATTAGGACATTCAACATTCAGTAAAGCATTATGACAAATAAAGTAAAAGTACAGGTTTCCAGTAGGGACTGGAAAATAAACCTTTTTCAGCCTTGCTTCCAAATAGTGGAGCAACTTAAAAGATGACACGACCTAATGACTTCCTTCAAGCTAATTAGCAAAAGAAAATAAATCCAAGCATTTTATTTGCCACATGGCAGCACTTTCCTTATCAAAATATACATAATAAGTGATTTCTGCATAAGGATGGGCAGTCAGACAATTCAAAAAAATTACTTATTAAAAAATAAAGCAATTTTAGTTTCAGCCTCACCAGACTGATGCTCATCTGGGTAGAAGAAGGATGTTTCTATCAACCTTCCTTATAATCTCTCAGAAATTTAGACTGTAAGGATGTGTTTTCCTTAATGTCTGCTGCTTTACAAATGGAAATATTTAACATAAAATCAAATTGCCCAAGCTCTGTTCTATCCCCTAAAGTGATACATTGAAGCATTAATATTCCAAAAAAGGTAAAGTCTTTATATATAAAATAGCTATCAATGTTTTCAAATGGCTATTAAACACCAGGTATTATAGAAAGTAGTAAATGACATTAGATGGGAGGTGATGCTTTGAAAACTCAACAATCCTTCTGCACGACAGACTCATTTAATTCCGAAAATTATATTTAATAATGATTTAGAAAGGAACATTCATATTACATTGTCTCAAAAAAATGGTATAATACACTTCATTGAATCAGCACCATCAAAAAAAGGCAAACCAGCAAAGAAGGAAGAAATTAAAAATGTTAGTCATCAAAAGGGACCATAAGCGGACTGGTGAGCAGAAGAGTTGGGAGGCAGAAAGGTAAGCAAGCAGTAGTTAGAAATCGCCAGGAGACCTGAAAATCCCCTGAGGGAGAGTTACTTTGCCTATAAGTAATAACTGAGACTCATTTTATCGAGGAGCAACTAATAAGATACTTTAGGGTTACAGTAATATCTACCCTAAAGCCTAAAGTTTGCTTACCTGGGTAAAATGTGTAATACTAAACAGAAAAGCAGAAAGAGAAATACTCAAATGAGCAAAATTAGACATGGAAGGACTCCTGCACTTGCCTCAAGCCTGCATTTTTAATCTTTAAGAGGCCATCTCCATCTCATAGCCAAGAGAACAAGCTTAGAGTGAGACAGATCTGGTTTGCTACTTATGAACTATGCTGTAACCCTTGGGAAATTGCTTGATGCCTTGTGCCTCCTATTTCTCACCTGTAAAATAAGGAACAGCAGTAAACCTAGTCCACAGTGTTGCTGAGATGATTACATAAGACGACGCCTTGCAAGCACAGTTCATGACACTCAACAAGTACTCAATAAATATTAGCTATTATTATTATTATCACTATCATTCCAGACATTCTCATTCAAGTGGTGTTATTCTGTCCATAGTAAAATGAAAGGAAAAGACTCAGTCAAGAGTAAACAAGATTAATCTCATATGCCAACACTAATCAATTGACTTTATGGTCACTTCTGAGATCACCTGGGGACCGAAATGAAATTGGTTATTCATGTCTGCTAATGAATACAGAAATGTTAAGTAGTGTCTGAAACTCATGCCACGTTTTATTATTCACCAAACTAGAAGTTCTAGAATCATGCAGCTCTCCTGATGGAAATTCTAAACTAGGAAAATTTGAAACTAGGAAAAGGTTAAGATTTGAAGAGTATCTGTTGTTTGCAAGTATATTTTCAAATCCATCCATCCAAAATATCTGAGATTAAAAGAAGTACTGCTAATAAGACGTATATTTTAGTAAGTAAGAAATTAGTAATTATAATAATGGATGTGGACTCTCGAACAGCACCAACTTACCTCCTGGTGCCTCTATAAATTGTGTGGTTTGTAGGGCAAGTACTTAAAGCCTTAGTCTTTTCTTCTGTAAATAGGATATTACCCACCAAAAAGAATTTGAAATAACAGTACAGGGTAATCTGTAAGGGCTTTTAAAACAGGTGACAAACTTCCGTACCATAGAAAGTTCACTTATTTGGAAGAATAGGCCTGTTTCCTACTGATGCTGGATGAATGAGTATGTTTTAAAACAAAAGCACAATTACATATTCAAAGAAATTTAGAGCTAGAAGGACCAATGCTGAAGTCTAATTGAATCTTCTCATTTCACACAAAAAAGGAAAATTGGGTCCAGAAAAATAAAGAGACAGACCAGTCAAACCTGGCTGTCACCCTTACCGATATTAACAGAAGGATGTATCAGCTCAAGAGAATTCCCAGCTTCTTACACTTTTTGATATATGACAATTATCTTTTATCAACATGTGAATAATGGCTCTTAGATTCATATAATCTCTAAATAATACTCATAGACTCCTGCTCATTAGTTTCGCCACAAAACACTATTTATGCGCTCAGGCAACTTCTTCGCTATAAACAGTTTCAGCATTTAGGGATTCCATATTCAATTCTGAGGCTGTCTTATCAAAGCTGCCTGCAACCCCATCAGTTGCAAATGATGACCATGGCTTAAGGCATTCCATGTGTCCAGATCCTATCACTTCAGACAGAAAAGAAACCCAACAAGGCAAGCACTTGTAACTAAACAAACCATAGGACAGGCCAACTTTCAACCACTTTACAGTTTACTGAAGAAGATAAACAAATAAATTAAGAATAGAACACAGGAAGGGAAGTACTATGTGTTTTCTCAGGGGATCACTTAGCAAAGATACACCCCTGAGATTTAAATAACTATCTCCCAAGAATGGAAAATCCTGAACAGGGTTACTAAGGTTCTAAATAGGAACTACGAGGAAGAAAAAAAAAAAAAAACCACACACACACACACACACACACAAGTAGACTCTTATATCATTTTGATTGTGGTCTTAAAGTTCTATTGAAGACAGCAGGAACATTTTTAAGTAAAAGACAGTCATAGACTCCTATATCTGGAAGGAATCTAAAGATTATGCAAAAAAATCTATCATCTTACAGGTGAAAAACTAAGATACTAAACTACTTGCCCAAGATCATATGATCAGTGGTGTCAGAGCCAAAACATCATTTTTGTCACTTGGCTTCCAACCTAGCGTCCTTTTTGAGAACCACGCTACCTCTGTTGCAAACTTGCTCCCCTTTTCAATCTACATAAGCTACAAAATACAATTTGCTTGAGTCCTGTTTCAGGAAGCTTTAGAATGTAACCCTTCTACAGAATTGCTTTAAATGTGGATATGATTCCTTGTGCGCATTATTTTATACAAATGGATCACCGAAATAATCTTAAAAACCTACCATTTTCCATCTCTCTACTCCTACTGGTTTCCCCAAAAGTCACAATTTAAAGAGAAATTAGTGAAGAAATTGTGATATTAGTGGAGAATTGATATGACACTAATGCAACCAATAACAGCAACTGTCAGAATTAACTGCTTTTGCCATAACCCATCCCTGTTTCTATGGCAAATCTTTTCATAAAAGGGACTGGGGAGTGGCAGAGAAAATACCTTAATTCTTCCAGAGTGAAAAGAACAGTAATTCGGTTTATTCAAGTCTGCTCATAATCGTATTTCTTTTTTTGGTTAAAGATCATGTTCCTGAGCCAAAGCAATGTATTTTTTTTTTTTAAGTGCTATTCTATTAACTCGATTTAAGTCCCTTTATTAAGTTGGGTGTACCTCCACTTCAAAAAGGCTGATTTATTCTTCAACCCTGCACAAATCTTAAACTTTATTTGAACAGTAACATGTATAACTGGCTTATACCAGAGGTGAGAGTAAAACTCAGCCTTAAGAATTATACACATAGGTACACAAGAAAAAGAGAAGTAAATTGTATCAATATACTGGTTTTAACATTGTACTATAGGTTTTCCAAATGCTACCACTGGGGGAACTGGGTCAAAGGAATACTGGATCTCCATACTTTTTGGCAACTATATTTGAAGTTAGAAATACCTTTAAAATTTCAACTGAAAAATTAAACTCTTAAGCTCTTATGTATACAACTTGTTCTCAGATGGTTCAGAAAAAAATTTTGTGTGTGTGTGTGTGTGTGTGTACAGGAGGGGCTGATGGGGAGGCAGGTAAGGAGGAACGGGAATGATTAAACAAATGGGGCCAATAATTAGAATAGGTAATTCAGGGTGAAAGGTATAGAGGTGTGTTCTTTCTTCGCATTATTTTTATTCTTGAAAACTTCCTGTAGATTTAAAATGATTTCTACAAGAGTTAAATACATACACATTTACATTGAAACATATCACTGTTTTCATGTCATGGCTCTCTCTTCACTATTGAGTATTATTGCTTTAATCATTGTCACTTTGATAGAAGAAGTTGTGTCTCATTTGAATTTCCTTTGGATTGTCATGTTCAAGTCATTTGTATAGTTTTCTATTACAAATATAAATATTTTTCTCATTGATTTGTGATTTTTTGACCACTCTTATTTTAAATGTTAAACTTTTGTCATATTTACTCTGCTTTAAATAAATTAATCTTGAAGCTTTTTTAAAGGCATTCCAGATAATTCCATTTCAAGTAATGCTTATAAAGGAAAGTAAGATGACACTCAGGTAGCCACATATTTTTATCAATATATCCTTTATACAGTACCACCCCAGTCAAATTTATTGCATCTTAACATCATCCAATGTAGGTAATAATCTCATCCAATTAGAAATGAAAATTGAAAGATACCAGTTTTTGCCCATGCATACCACAAACGTTGAACAAAGTGTTTTCTAGTTAGTCTAAATTCTAAATAGACTGTAGAAACTTTTAATCATCCCATCAGAAATGTAAACTCTGTAAGATATATAGGCCGTTAGAAAAATGGTCACATTTTAAAAAGTGGTCATTAGTTTATTTTTAATATGTAAACTAATTCTCTTTCAAATCATTATTTCCAGACATCAGAGTCACGTGTCCAGTTAGGCTACAAAACTACAGGCTTCTAATATTTCCCATAAACCAAGAGACAATAGCCTTATTCACCATTCATATTGAAAAAGCACAATGTCATGTAATTTATATAAGCCATAAATGGAACAGTAGCTTCATGCAGCTTGAGACGAATTAACGCACGTCTTGCTACATCTACTAAATTTCTTAGGGTATGAAAAATATGCAGTCACTACAACTCCCAAATATATTCGTAAAGTCTATAATTTCAGAACTTGACTATAACAATATACAAATACACTTTCTCCACAAGGAGGAGGCAGAAAACACACATAAGTAGTTTCTGTACTTGAATCTATTAAAATTTAAAGCATAATATAGCTTATGTTCCCCATTTTAACATTTTTCAACAAGATAGTAAGAATATTAATCTTGGAAAGATTGGTAATTCTTTCCATATATTCTAACAAACCAATACCTAAAAAGAATCAGACCATCCTAAACCACTCCATATGAATCGTAAACAGCAAAATGGAAAAAAACATACTTACCATCTGGTAAAAAATGGAAACTTTCAGTCAAAATAGCTCAATAAAGAATCTCAAATCCAGGTATCAAGCCCTATTTTCTACGTGATTTCATATTCACTCTTTTACCCTATAATGACCCTGGAGGAACTGGGTCAAAGGTATACTGGATCTCCGTCCTTTTGGCAGTTAGAAACACCTTATATTTGAAGTTAGAAACACCGTTAAAATTTCAATTGAAAAATTAAACTCTTAAGCCCTTATGTATACAACTTGTTCTCAGATGGTTCAGAAAAAAATTGTGTGTGTGTGTGTGTTTGTGTGTGTACAGGAGGGGCTGGTGGGGAGGCAGGCAAGGAGGAACGGAATGATTAAACAAATGGGGCCAATAATGACATGATTTTTTAATCACGAAGAATTCAAGTGGACTATATAACTTAATTTCATGATCAGGAAATTTTTACATAACCTGTTGATGAGCTTGACATCTTTTATTTTAAAAATAGGCATTTATACTTTTATGTGTAATATGCTTTTTTTCTCATAAGATCTAAATACTTAGGAAAGCTGAAAAAATCCGGGCAAATACCTGCTGTTAAAATCCCGAGTATATTTTCAAGAAAATCTGAAGCTGAAAACAAGCTCATATTACTTCAAAATGTGTAGCCTGTATAGGAGAACAAGTCTTATATGCAAATGCTGGCTGTATCCCAAAATAATTTTTTTCAAGTTATACCTTGCCGATTCCACCGGCATAAAGGAAACTTTAAAACTCCCAGGTGTGGAATTATTTCACATGCTGTTTTAGTAAAAATAAGTGGTTCATTTCTGAATACATCTCACAGCACTAGGAACAGAGTTACAGAGTGCTACACTTGTGGGCACTATCCTTTCTCCTATTTTAAAAATGTGTGTTTGGGGAGTGGGGAAGTAGGGAATGGAAAGTGCAGGAAAGTCTGGAAAAACAGGACCTGGGGGCAGGTCTTTCCCTATGAACTGAACTGAAAGAGTAAATTCATGTAGGATCCAGGAGTTGGGGGAAGGAGGGTTAAGTACCAAGTTCTAGAAATTGTTGTACGTGAGTTAGTGGAAGGGGATAAAACGTCTGTCACGGTGTCCGCCCAAGATTAAGTAAAACACCAGAAGGAAAATTACCTATTACAAGAAAAAGAAACTTCTTATTTGGACACAAAAATAAGCTTGGCCCTTTTGAGTACAATCTTCCTTTTCCCATTCTGGAAGGCCAGACGGTGCTTGGCGACCCTTTCATGGGGTCGCTCTGAGCCACCTCACCATTAGGATGACAATTCTATGGAAGCAAAACCTGTCAAGTTTCTGTTTCAATGCCCCAATTCTCCCCGCCCCCATAAGTCTATGGAAGTCCCCTCAGATCCTATCACGTAACGTGGCATAACCCTTAATTACTTCTTAATCTCCAAAGCACACTGAAAACATTTTCTGCGCACCTTAAAAAAAAATTCAAACACCCCAAAGATCCAAGAATAACTTCTACAGTCAATGGTGACAATGTGTAAAGTTAACATTCTCTCGGCATACCAGTACCTTCCAAGACCCCAGGTGTTGATCCCGGAGAGCGCCTTCTTGGCAGGGCCAGGCCCCTGGACCGAGGAGCGGTGCCTGTTACTCCTTGTTTAATTTGAATTGAAAACACGTTTTCCCCATTCTTGAAGCCCTGCCCTTTTTTATTAGGCTTTACACCGCCCAAATGTGAGGTTTACCTCGCTGGGAGGGGGAAGCCACACACACGTGTCACAACTCCACTTGGCAGTAGTCCTACTCCTCAGTGCCTCCAGGGACAAACTGAAGACAAACTAGTTTATTCCCTCCGTGCAGTTGAAGTCCTTACAAAATCATTTCTCTTGCGGGTGGGGTGGTCGGGGAGGGGGCGTCAGAGGGTGGACACAGATAAAAGAGTCAAGGAATTCCGAGCTGAAAGGTGGAACTTACATGTTGACATTACTGCGCCGAGGTCCCCTTCGGCCGCAAGATCATCCTCCACTACTTTCCCGGCTCTGCTGCAGCTGCTCCACCCAGGGGGAACCCAGGGGCCCCAGTCGTGCGTTGCGGCGGGACCCTCCTTTACGCTGTTTCTGGAGAGTTCATGGGCTTTCCCGACGGCGTAAGGTGAACCCTGGGCGCCGCGGCGTTCAGCGCAGGGCCTGCGGGCGAGAAAGCAGGCTGGCGGCAGGTTCCTCCTCGCAGGGAAGTTGGCAGCGTGAGGGCTAGAAGCTGAGGAAGTCGGGTGTGCGTGGCGCTGGTGCTGAGGAGACCCGGCCGGGCAGGGTGCGTGGGCGGAGGGGTGCGCGTCGCAGGTCCTCGCCCCCGCTGGCGGGAGGCGGGACTCCGCCACCACCCTGGGGACTTGGGTCCCCCTCCTGGGCGCAGGCTACTCTCCCCCGGCCCGTGCGCTCCGCCCGCGCTTCCGGCGCAGCGGCGTGACCGGAGCCGGGGCTCAGGTGCGGCGGCGCCGGCTGCGTGGACTTCTGAACGGACTCCGGCGGCCCAGGTCTGGGCGCTCTGCGGCTAGGGCCGTCCCGGAGGCGCAGCTGCCCCACCCAGGATCCTGAACCTCAGGGCCGAAAGGGAGAAGTCGCCCCGCGGGGCGGGACAGGCGCTCTCGGAGCGAGCGGCGAAGGGAGAGTGGCGGCGGGTAGGCGTGGGGTGGGCGATGGGCGCAGAGCCGGGCTGAGAGGGGAGGAGACAGGGCGGACCTGGAGGTCGCCAGAATGCTGGGAGCGCTGAACCGGGGAGACCCTCAACGAGAGAAAGGAGAAGCTGGGAAGGCAGGCGCTCCTGTGGCGTCTCCCCAGCGTTTGCAGCCCACCCGAGTCCCCGCGCGGGTCTCCCCGCCACGCTCCCGGGTCGTTGCTTTGCTTCACTTTTCTGCCACTTTACTTTTCTGTCTTCTCTCACTGGTTCGCTTGCTCGAAAAAATGAAGGGATGTTAACAGGGGGCTGGGAAGATGGTCACATAACATTTTATTGAGAGGGATTGATTTGCCAATGTAAATCTAGCTGCTCGTTGGGGAAAGTTAGCTTCCTGCTCTCCAATGCTCCTGTAAAGTAGCTGCCTGGCAAAGGGATCTGGACACACCTCCTTGGGAATGAGAAGAGAGAAGGGCTTACACTTGGAAAGAGGTTTTCTTCCCATTGTGTACTGCCAGAGTTAGTCCACAAAATGCTAGAGGCAAACCTTCCGGTGCCAGGACTGTGTGCACATCCAGAACCCTAACAGCCCAGCTTGCACGGTGTACACACTGGCAGAGGCACAGGCCACGCACAGAAGTGCCCTAACAATTATTTAACGCTGATTAGCTTGTGATAGAGAACTGTTGGTGGGTGCGGGGGTGGGGAAGAGGTAAAGTAGGACTTACTCACAGTTACAGGCAGAAAGGAAGCTGGAACGCTGCCACCAATTCCAGAGGCCTGAACATCTAGGGTGTGTTCTACTTGTCATTTTTATCAGTATTCATTTTGATGAATAAACAGTATGATTAATAGAGACATTGAGTTGTAACATTTAAGGGAAGTTAAGTTCTTCTGCCCAACTCTCTCACATTAACAGATAGGGAAATAAGACTGACAAGATCTGAGGTCTGTGCACACCAGCTAGAGGTGACCAGGGGCTAAGATCAGGTTCCCAGACTCCCCTTTTGAGTCAGTCTCTATTAAATGATATAGTCCCAAAGAAATTTAAGTGCCACTCATGGAATTTTTTTTTTTTTTGAGACGGAGTCTTGCTCTGTAGCCCGGGCTGGACTGCAGTGGCCGGATCTCAGCTCACTGCAAGCTCCGCCTCCCGGGTTTACGCCATTCTCCTGCCTCAGCCTCCGGAGTAGCTGGGACTACAGGCGCCCGCCACCTCGCCCGGCTAGTTTTTTGTATTTTTAGTAGAGACGGGGTTTCACCGTGTTAGCCAGGATGGTCTCGATCTCCTGACCCCGTGATCTGCCCGTCTCGGCCTCCCAAAGTGCTGGGATTACAGGCTTGAGCCACACTCATGGAATTTTTTAAAAGCAACATGTATTTCACAGTTTTGTGGGTCAAGAACATGGATGTGCCTTAGCTCAATGTCTCTCAGGAGGCTACAATTAGAGTGGTGACTAAGGCTGTGGTCCCGTCTGAAGGCTTGACAGGGGAAAGATCTACTTCCAAGTTCACATATGTATTTATTCCAGTCATAAAATTTTAAAGCTAGAAGAAACCTGGAAATATAAGAGCAAATAAATATAAATAGCTGCCAGGCATGGTGGCTCATGCCTGTAATCCCAGCACTTTGGGAAGCTGAGGTGGATCAGTTGAGGTCAGGAGTTTAAGACCAGTTTGGCCAACATGGTGCAACCTCATCTCTACTGGGGAAAAAAAAAAAAAAATTGCCATGGTGGCACACACCTGTAATCCCAGCTACTTTTGCTGAGGCAGGAGAATCACTTGAACCTGGAAGATGGAGGTTGCAGTGAGCTGAGGTTGCACCACTGAACTCCAGCCTGGGCAAAAGAGCTAGACTCTGTCTCAAAAAAAGAAAAGAAATATAAATAACTGCATTATTCAGTGTTCTCCAGAAGAACAGAGCCAGTTAGATGTGTGTATGTACATAGATTGATATATTTTAGTTTTAAGGTATTGTGGAGGTACAAGTGCAAAATTTACAGTCAGGCAGCCTGGAGATTCAGGGAAGAGTTATAGTCCAAATCCAAATGCAGTCTGGCAGAATTCCTTCTTGCTTAGGGTAGATCAGTCTTTGGTCTGTTAAGGCCTTCAACTGCTTGGATGAGGCTTACCTACAGAAAGGAGGATAATCTTCTTTGTACATAGTCCCCTGATTTTTTTTTAATAGTTTTTATTCTGATTTTGTCTTTGACAGATTATAATTGTATATATTTGTGGGATACAATGTGATATTTTTATATTTTTACATTCCATATGGAATGATTATATCAAGCTAATTAACATGTCTATCATTTTTGTGATAAGAATATTTGAAATTTAGCAATTTTGAAATATGCAAGGCATTATTATCTATATTCACAATGCTGTGAAATAGATTTCAGAAACTTATTCCTTCTAACTGAAAAACTTTGTATCCTTTGACCAACATTTCACCATTCCACCCCACCTCACCCTCTAGCCTCTGGTAAGCACCATTGTACTCTCTACTCTTATGAGTTTGTTTCAAATTCCACATGTAAGTGGGATCATTTGCTTTTTCTCTTTCCATCAGTGGATGAATGAATAAAGAAAACATGGAATATATACACAATAGAATGCCATTCGACCTTTAAGATAGAAATTCTGTCGTTTGTGACACATGGATGGACCTAGAGGACTTTATGCAAGGCCCACTGATTCAAATGTTAATCTCATCCAAGAAACACCATCACAGACACATACAGAATAACGCTTGGCCAAATCTGGACACCATGGCCAAGCCAAGTTAACACATAAAAAAATTAACCATCACATTAACCAAAAAAAGATGGACATACATCAAGAAGACAGTAGTTTTCACATGTGCTATTACTATATGTTAAAATGTTCATAATTTTATGCATTGAAATTAATACATGATCAGAATCATAGCTAAAATATTTCAATGGATCGGTGCCTGTCATCGGTCAGTCTGTTAATAAAATCTGTATATTTTGGCAGTTTTGTCCTCAAACTAAGAATTTGTTCTTTTCTTTTGAAAAAGCATGTTAGGGAAATGGAGTGTATGGTGGAAAGTATATAGTCTTTTAATGCAATAGACCTGGATTCTCAACTTGCCCCTACAATTTCTCAGCATTGTGAACTCTGGCAGTTTGCTATGTAACTAAGCTTGATTTGTAAAATAAGAATAATAATGCTTGTAATGTTTAACTCATAGAGCTGTTAGGCAGATTCAGTGAGACATTCTGATGTCATTAGACATTCTAATGACATGAAGCATTCAGCATATTTCCTGAAGTTTGCTAATATTAGTTGTCTCTGCCCACCCTATTATGATTATCCTAAACTGAAAAGTGCCAAGACCACATTCCTCCACACACAGGAATCCTCTTGACAACATTCCAGACAAAATGAATATTGAACATCTGTTTGAATCCCTTAACATTGATGCACACTCAACTGTGAGAAGCTTCCTCTTTCTGTGGATTGAATCAAACATTCATGCTTTCAACTCCCATTCAGAACAAGCACATTCTGTCATCCACAATAAGCCTTTCAAATATCTGAAAACAGCTATCATCTCTCTGTTGAGCCTTCCTTCATTCAGCTTTGACAGCCCTAGTTATTTTAACCATTCAGTGTCTGGCTCCTCACCACACATGTGACTCGCCCTTTCCTATCTGCATATTAGTCAACATCAGCCCTCTTTGCAGTGTACTCAAAGTGGATTTCAAACCTCAGCCCTGATGACAGTGAGATCCTTACCATTCTTGAACTGGATATTACTCTTAGGTAAATAAAAGTTGGTGTTGACTTTTTGAGCAGCAAAAAATTGTTTCAGCAACACAAATTCTGTCATTTATGACAACATGAATGAACCTAGAGGACATTATGCAAAGTCCAGTGATTCAGATGTTAATCTCATCCAAGAAACACCTTCACAGACATATGCAAAATAATGTTTGACCAAATATCTGAACACCATGGCCAAGCCAAGTTGACACATACAATTAAGCATCAGATTAACCAAAAAGAGATGGACATACACATAAAATATAGCAGGAATAGTAACTATAATAAATTGACCTTCTATGTGCCAGGGTGTATATAAATTTTATTCCACAAATCAAGTAGATTAATAAATATATATTTGTAAATAATTCAACCCAATTGGAAATTTTTGTGTTTATGTTTCATTCTGCCTTAATCAGTCCACGTCCTCCTGTTTCATCAAGTTTCTTGCTTTCTTCAGCAGAGAGGGTAGAAGAAATGTGGTCTTTGACTTACTTGTATCAGTAGATATCAACCTTTTTGGTCGCTGGCCATTGGTCCACATAGGATGTCAGTCTGGTAAGTAAGTCTCTTTCAGGCTCTTTCTTCGTTCCCTTAATGGCCTATCAGTCTTCATCAGCCTGGCCCCCTCCAAGCAGCCCTTCTCTCCTTGTGGCCTTGCCTGCTTCCTGGGCCTCTATCTGAGGGGCAGGGTACACAGCTTCTCTTGGAAACCACTCAACTCCGTGATCTCACAAACTGCCCCTCCCCCACCCAACCTGTTTTCTAACATGATAGGAGATAGCTTCTCATTTCTCTTTCTAAGAGAATAGTAGACCAAGTTATGTACCTTGTGACTAGAACAGGCTTTGTAAGATAAACTAGTGAAGGGGATCAGAATATGCCACCTCATGATATGCTACATTGGCATAATGATTATTTTGAGCTGAAGGCAATTACGAAGCAGCAAACACAGAAAGAGCTCTTTGTCCTCCCCTGATTTGCCTAAAAGCAGGACATGAATGTCCTTCCTTCTCTCATACCATGAAGAGGAAAACAACCATTGTTACTGGAGTTGGAATGTCAGCACCAACATTGGTCTGCACAAACAAACCTTACTAAAATAACCCTTATCTTCCATTAGTTTCCCTTTATATATTTACCTTCCCTCTATTTACTGTCCCTGGAAGCCTAGTTTCCTTTTCCTTTGTTTTGTCAGTTCTCCACAAACTTATCTTTCTTTGTTAAGATGATATATAAGTTCCAAATTCTAATCACACCTTTGAGTTACTCAACATTAAGTTCTTCTATATATATGTACATTGCATGCATAAACAAATTCTGGGGTTCTTTTTTCCTGTTGATCTATCTTTTTGAAGTGTAATTCACAGGCCCAAGCCACTGAACCTAAGAAGGTTAAAAAAAAAAAAAGTTTTAATCTCTCTCCCTACAGAAGTCACTGGAAGTTTCTGAGTAGATGAGACTATGATCTGACATATGTGGAAGATAGACTCTAGGGAGTTTAAAAGTAAGAACAAGGAGACTATTTAGATGGCTGTTGCATAATCCAGGTAAGAGAGAATAATGTATCATATCAACTATGGTGGTGAAAAGGGAAGTGATGAGAAGTAATTGAATATGGGATATTTTGAAGGTGATTTGCTTATAGTTAGATATTGAGTATAAGACAAAGCAGAAACAAAGAATACCCTGAAATATTTCACTTAGGCAACTGAGTAGAGTTTTTAATCACAGAGTTGGAGAAGACGGGGAAGGAAACAGTTTTGGGGAGAAAACTCAAGAGTTCAGTTTTGGACTTGGTAAGTCTGAGATATTCTAACACATGCAGCTAACTTACAATATAACAATATAAATTGTTAATTAAGCGTTACATTCTAAGATTTTGTCTGAAGTCAATGTCAAACTTCCTGGTGATTGCAGAATGAACTTTCATGGTAAGATGAAATTCTAATTAATTCTGAAGAATAGGTTGGACTTACACTGACAGTTTGAACCAGTGGAACTATTTTAGCAACAATGGAGGAAAATATGAAAAAAAAATTTTTTAATTAATTTATTTTTTTATTATTATTATACTTTAAGTTCTAGGGTACATGTGCATAACGTGCACGTTTGTTACATATGTATACCTGTGCCATGTTGGTGTGCTGCACCCATCAACTCGTCAGCACCCATCAACTTACATCACATATAACTCCCATTGCAATCCCTCCCCCCTCCCCCCTCCCCATGATAGGCCCCAGTGTGTGATGTTCCCCTTCCCGAGTGTAAGTGATCTCATTGTTCAGTTCCCACCTATGAGTGAGAACATGCGGTGTTTGGTTTTCTGTTCTTGCGATAGTTTACTGAGAATGATGGTTTCCAGCTGTATCCATGTCCCTACAAAGGACACAAACTCATCCTTTTTTATGGCCGCATAGTATTCCATGGTGTATATGTACCACATTTTCTTAATCCAGTCTATCACTGATGGTTATTTGGGTTGATTCCAAGTCTTTGCTATTGTGAATAGTGCCACAATAAACATACGTGTGCATGTGTCTTTATAGCAGCATGATTTATAATCCTTTGGGTATATACCCAGTAATGGGATGGCTGGGTCAAATGGTATTTCTAGTCCTAGATCCTTGAGGAATCGCCACACTGTCTTCCACAATGGTTAAACTAGTTTACAGTCCCACCAACAGTGTAAAAGTGTTTCTATTTCTCCACATCCTCTCCAGCACTTGTTGTTTCCTGACTTTTTAATGATTGCCATTCTAACTGGTGTGAGATGGTATCTCATTGTGGTTTTGATTTCCATTTCTCTGCTGGCGAGTGATGATGAGCATTTTTTCATGTGTTTGTTGGCTGTATGAATGTCTTCTTTTGAGAAATGTCTGTTCATATCCTTTGGCCACTTTTTGATGGGGTTGTTTGTTTTTTCTTGTAAATTTGTTTGAGTTCTTTGTAGGTTCTGGATATTAGCCCTTTGTCAGATGAGTAGATTGCAAAAATTTTCTCCCATTCTGTAGGTTGCCTGTTCACTCTGATGGTAGTTTCTTTTGCTGTGCAGAAGCTCTTTAGTTTACTTAGATTCCATTTGTCTATTTGGGCTTTTGTTGCCATTGCTTTTGGTGTTTTAGACATGAAGTCCTTGCCCATGCCTATGTCCTGAATGGTATTACCTAGGTTTTCTTCTAGGGTTTTTATGGTTTTAGGTCTAACATTTAAGTCTCTAATCCATCTTGAATTAATTTTCATATAAGGAGTAAGGAAAGGATCCAGTTTCAGCTTTCTACTCATGGCTAACCAATTTTCCCAGCACCATTTATTAAATAGGGAATCCTTTCCCCATTTCTTGTTTTTGTCAGGTTTGTCAAAGATCAGATGGCTGTAGATGTGTGGTATTATTTCTGAGGGCTCTGTTCTGTTCCATTGGTCTATATCTCTGTTTTGGTACCAGTACCATGCTGTTTTGGTTACTGTAGCAGGACAGCGGAGCAAGATGGCTGAATAGGAATAGCTCCAGTCTCCAGCTCCCAGCGCAAGTGACACAGAAGACAGGTGATTTCTGCATTTTCAGCTGAGGTACTGGGTTCATCTCACTAGGGAGTGCCGGACAATTGGCGCTGGTCAGCTGCTGCAGCCCCAGATCAGGGAGAGCTGAAGCAGGGCAAGGCATCGCCTCACTTGGGAAGCACAAGGGGGAAGGGAATCCCTTTTCCTAGACAGGGGAACTGAGACACACAACACCTGGAAAGTTGGGTAACTCCCACCCCAATACTGTGCTTTACCAAGAGTCTTAGCTAACGGGCACACCAGGAGATTTTATCCCACACCTGGCTGGGAGGGTCCCACCCCCACGGAGCCTCCCTCATTGCTAGCACAGCAGTCTGCTATTTAACAGCAAGGCAGCAGCAAGGCTGGGGGAGGGGTGCCCACCATTGCTGAGGCTTAAGTAGGTAAACAAAGCTGCTGGGAAGCTAGAATTGGGTGGAGCTCACAACAGCTCAAGGAGGCCTGTCTGTCTCTGTAGACTCCACCTCCGGGGACAGGGCACAACTAAACAACAAAAACAACAACAGCAACAACAAAGCAGCAGAAGCCTCTGCAGATGCAAATGACTCTGTCTGATAGCTTTGAAGAGAGCAGTGGATCTCCCAACACGGAGGTTGAGATCTGAGAACGTACAGACTGCCTGCTCAAGTGGGTCCCTGACCCCTGAGTAGCCTAACTGGGAGACATCCCCCAGTAGGAGCAGACCAACACCCCACACCTCACACAGTGGAGTACACCCCTGAGAGGAAGCTTCCAAAGCAAGAATCAGACAAGTGCACTTGCAGCCTCTGCTGCTGATATCCAGGCAAACAGGGTCTGGAGTGGACCTCAAGCAATCTCCAACAGACCTACAGCTGAGGGTCCTGACTGTTAGAAGGAAAACTAACAAACAGGAAGGATACCCACACCAAAACCCCATCAGTACGTCACCATCATCAAAGAGCAGAGGCAGATAAAACCACAAAGATGGGGGAAAAGCAGGGCAGAAAAGCTGGAAATTCAAAAAATAAGAGTGCCTCTCCCCCTGCAAAGGAACGCAGCTCATCGCCAGCAACGGATCAAAGCTGGACAGAGAATGACTTTGATGAGATGAGAGAAGAAGGCTTCAGTCCATCAAAATTCTCAGAGCTAAAGGAGGAATTACGTACCCAGCGCAAAGAAACTAAAAATCTTGAAAAAAGTGGAAGAATTGATAACTAGAATAATTAATGCAGAGAAGGCCATAAACGAACTGACAGAGATGAAAACCATGACACGAGAAATACATGACAAATGCACAAGCTTCAGTAACCGACTTGATCAACTGGAAGAAAGAGTATCAGCGATTGAGGATCAAATGAATGAAATGAAGCGAGAAGAGAAACTTAAAGAAAAAAGAAGAAAAAGAAATGAACAAAGCCTGCAAGAAGTATGGGATTATGTAAAAAGACCAAATCTACGTCTGATTGGGGTGCCTGAAAGTGAGGGGGGAAATGGAACCAAGTCGGAAAACACTGTTCAGGATATCATCCAGGAGAACTTCCCCAACCTAGTAGGGCAGGCCAACATTCAAATTCAGGAAATACAGAGAACGCCACAAATATACTCCTTGAGAAGAGCAACCCCAAGACACATAATTGCCAGATTCACCAAAGTTGAAATGAAGGAAAAAATCTTAAGGGCAGCCAGAGAGAAAGGTCGGGTTACCCACAAAGGGAAGCCCATCAGACTAACAGCAGATCTCTCGGCAGAAACTCTACAAGCCAGAAGAGAGTGGGGGCCAATAATCAACATTCTTAAAGAAAAGAATTTTCAATGCAGAATTTCATATCCAGCCAAACTAAGTTTCGTAAGTGAAGGAGAAATAAAATCCTTTACAGATAAGCAAAGGCTTAGAGATTTTGTCACCAGGCCTGCCTTACAAGAGACCCTGAAGGAAGCACTAAACATGGAAAGGAACAACTGATACCAGCCATTGCAAAAACATGCCAAAATGTAAAGACCATCGAGGCTACGAAGAAACTGCATCAACTAATGAGCAAAATAACCAGTTAATATTATAATGGCAGGATCAAGTTCACACATAACAATATTAACCTTAAATGTAAATGGACTAAATGGTCCAATTAAAAGACACAGACTGGCAAACTGAATAAAGAGTCAAGACCCATCAGTTTGCTGTATTCAGGAGACCCATCTCACATGCAGAGACACACATAGGCTCAAAATAAAGGGATGGAGGAAGATCTACCAAGCAAATGGAAAACAAAAAAAAGCAGAGGTTGCAATCCTAGTCTCTAATAAAACAGACTTTAAAACATCAAAGATCAAAAGAGACAAAGAAGGCCATTACATAATGGTAAAGGGATCAATTCAACAGGAAGAGCTAACCTAAATATATATGCACCCAATACAGGAGCACCCAGATTCATAAAGCAAGTCCTTAGGAACTTACAAAGAGACTTAGACTCCCATACAATAATAATGGGAGACTTCAACACCCCACTGTCAACATTAGACAGATCAACGAGACAGAAAGTTAACAAGGATATCCAGGAATTGAACTCATCTCTGCAGCAAGCAGACCTAATAGACATCTACAGAACTCTCCACCCCAAATCAACAGAATATACATTCTTCTCAGCACCACATCACACTTATTCCAAAATTGACCACATAATTGGAAGTAAAGCACTTCTCAGCAAATGTACAAGAACAGAAATTATAGCAAACTGTCTCTCAGACCACAGTGCAATCAAACTAGAACTTAGGACTAAGAAACTCTATCAAAACTACTCAACTACATGGAAACTGAATAACCTGCTCCTGAATGACTACTGGGTATATAACGAAATGAAGGCAGAAATAATGATGTTCTTTGAAACCAATGAGAACAAAGATACAACATACAAGAATCTCTGGGACACATTTAAAGCAGTGTGTAGAGGGAAATTTATAGCACTAAATGCCCACAAGAGAAAGCTGGAAAGATCTAAAATTGACACTCTAACATCACAATTAAAAGAACTAGAGAAGCAAGAGCAAACACATTCAAAAGCTAGCAGAAGGCAAGAAATACGTAAGATCAGAGCAGAACTGAAGGAGATAGAGACACAAAAAACCCTCCAAAAAAATCAATGAATCCAGGAGTTGGTTTTTTGAAAAGATCAACAAAATTGATAGACCACTAGCAAGACTAATAAAGAAGAAAAGATAGAAGAATCAAATAGACGCAATAAAAAATGATAAAGGGGATATCACCACCGACCCCATAGAAATAAAAACTACCATCAGAGAATACTATAAACACCTCTACACAAATAAACTAGAAAATCTAGAAGAAATGGATAATTTCCTGGACACTTACACTCTCCCAAGACTGAACCAGGAGGAAGCTGAATCCCTGAATAGACCAATAGCAGGCTCTGAAATTGAGGCAATAATTAATAGCCTACCAACCAAAAAATGTCCAGGCCCAGATGGATTCACAGCTGAATTCTACCAGAGGTACAAGGAGGAGCTGGTACCATTCCTTCTGAAACTATTCCAATCAATAGAAAAAGAAGGAATCCTCTCTAACTCATTTTGTGAGGCCAACATCATCCTGATACCAAAGCCTGGCAGAGACACAACAAAAAAAGAGAATTTTAGACCAATATCCCTGATAAACATCGATGCAAAAATCCTCAATAAAATACTGGCAAACCGGATCCAGCAGCACATCAAAAAGCTTATCCACCATGATCAAGTGGGCTTCATCCCTGGGATGCAAGGCTGGTTCAACATATGCAAATCAATAAACATAATCCAGCATGTAAACAGAACCAAAGACAAAAACCACATGATTATCTCAATAGATGCAGAAAAGGCCTTTGATAAAATTCAACAGCCCTTCATGCTAAAAACTCTCAATAAATTTGGTATTGATGGAACGTATCTCAAAATAATAAGAGCTATTTATGACAAACCCACAGCCAATATCATAGTGAATGGCCAAAAACTGGAAAAATTCCCTTTGAAAACTGGCACAAGACAGAGATGCCCTCTCTCACCACTCCTATTCAACATAGTGTTGGAAGTTCTGGCTAGGGCAATCAGGCAAGAGAAAGAAATCAAGGATATTCAGTTAGGAAAAGCAGAAGTCAAATTGTCCCTGTTTGCAGATGACATGATTGTATACTTAGAAAACCCCATCATCTCAGCCCAAAATTTCCTTAAACTGATAAGAAACTTCAGCAAAGTCTCAGGATACAAAATAAATGTGCAAAAATCACAAGCATTCTTATACACCAGTAACAGACAAACAGAGCCAAATCATGAATGAACTTCCATTCACAATTGCTTCAAAGAGACTAAAATACCTAGGAATCCAACTTACAAAGGATGTAAAGGACCTCTTCAAGGAGAACTACAAACCACTACTCAGTGAAATAAAAGAGGACACAAACAAATGGCGGAACATACCATGCTCATGGATAGGAAGAATCAATATCGTGAAAATGGCCATACTGCCCAAGGTAATTTATAGATTTAATGCCATCTCCATCAAGCTACCAATGGGTTTCTTCACAGAATTGGAAAAAACTGCTTTAAAGTTCATATGGAACCAAAAAAAGCCCGCGTTGCCAAGACAATCCTAAGTCAAAAGAACAAAGCTGGAGGCATCACGCTACCTGACTTCAAACTATACTACAAGAAAAAAATTTTAAAAATGTGGTAATGTGAACAAATAGCCTGGCTACAGTGGTAGAATTCTAGAGGCCAATGAGGAAAGAATGACTGATTGATGGTAAATTGTGGAAGGTTTGGAGAGTCAGGCTAAGGTAGTTGACTTGATCCTACAGGACATGCAGAACCAGTTAAGCTTAGTTTTTGCTGTTTGTCTTTTGATTTTGTTTATCTTGTTGGCAAGGAAGCCACAGAATTAAAACGATGTTATAGAAAACTAATCAGAATGAACCTATAATAAAGAAGACTTCTGCAAGGAGAGAAGTTAGGAAGTCATTGCAGTAGCACTGGGTGAGATAATGAATACTGCAGCATCAATAAAAATATTAATTCAAGGAGAATGGAAATATGATGAGGAGGAAATATGAAGTCGAAGAGACCTAATTCTATCTAGTCCATTCTTTCATAACAGATATCTAGACTGTTTGATGGCTGACGTTGTGCAAAGTACGATTGACTGGATTCTTGTTAATTTATACAATTATACATGATTTTTTTTTTTTTTGGTATTTCTACATGATATAACTGTGAGAATTATTGGGACTGCTTGCCACTGGGGTGATTCTTCTTCTCAGGACATATAGAATTGTTCTTCTCTTTCCTTTGAATGTTAGGCATGGTCATGAGTTGGTCTGGCAAATGAGATATGAGTAAAAATGATGTGTGTCATTTTGAGGCCGGAGTTATTAGGAGGTAGTGCACAATTGGTCATCTTTTCTTCCTCCTGACACAGCCACCTGCCATATTCTAAGTGGTGGAGATTTCACCAGCCTGGATTCCAGAGTGAGGAGGATGTGGAGTGGCTGCTCCAGCCAACCACAGGGGAAATATAGCGTGAGCCCCAAATAAGCTTTCAGTGCTATAAACCACTAAGATATGTGGTCATTACTAACTGTAATCTAGCTGATCCTGATTGATATGATATTTATTATCTAAGGAATAAATAAAGCAATATATAATCAGTTGTCAAATATAGTTAAATAATTAAAGGGATCTACTTTATGTGGGAAACTTTATCTTTTCATGATTTCAAAACTACTGAGCAACAGACATACTGTTGATGTACAATGAAAAGTCTGGCCAGAAAGAGACAAGCACAAACAGAAAGTAATAGTTTTGCTTTATTGAGTTGATTCTGTACAAGTTTTCTGTGATCTGTTTTTAAAATATCAAAGTGAAATAGTTTTCCAGGGATTTGGCAGTAAATGGAAATTGTATGTGCGTGTGTATGTGTGCATGACAGAAAGCAAAATCAAATTCCCCATGGGAGAATGATAAACTGGAATAGAAGTAAACATGTTGTGAAACCAAATCAATTATCCTTTATATGAGGGCTCTTGATGCAGAATTTAATATCAGATTTTTTTACAATTGGAGAAAAGATTGATTTATTTAAAAGGATAGGCACACTATTTTATTTAGAACTATGAAGCCAATAATTTATTTATAGAGATGAAGAGACAGTAGACTTTAGATTTTAGAGGTATTAGAGCACATTTTGATTTTCTTGAAAAGGAAATTCAATGGCAATTTGTGAAGCTATTATCTAAACTAAGCGGAAAGTATTTAAAATAATGGAAAAAATAACTGAGAATGGAGTGTGCTAATTTAGGTTGAGTACCCATAGAAGGTACCTCCAAGAAGGTGACACTTAAAATCTTAAGATGAGATCTGGTTGACCAAATGGAGCCAGCTATGCCTAAATTTAGGAGAAAAACATTCAAGGCAGAGGGATCTACTTACTACAAAAATCTAAGGCAGAAAAACATAGAATAAGCTTGAGAGGCAGAAACGAAGGTAGGTATGGGTAAAATATAATGGGTAAAGGGGAGAAAATAGGAAAGCAGACATACAAACAGAATCAGATAATGCAGAGTCTTATAAGTCAAGGTGCAGAAAGGAATTTTATATTCAGTGATATGATATGCTATTAAGGAATTTTATTTTATTTTATTTTATTTATTTTGAGACAGGTCTCACTCCGTCCCCTCAGAGGCTGGAGTACAGTGGTGTCATCATGGCTCAATGCAGCCTCAACCTCCAGGGCTCAAGGGATCCTCCCACCTCAGCCTGTGCAGTGCAGTGCAGTGGCACTCTCTCGGCTCACTGCGATCTCTGCTTCCCAGGTTCAAGTGATTCTGCTGCCTCAGTCTCCTGAGTAGGTACGTCCCACTATACTATTCTGGAATGGCCTTTGCAAGATGGTGATTATCTATCATTGATATGGTTTGGCTCTGTGCCCCCGCCCAAATCCAATCTTGAATTGTAATCCCCACATTTGGAGGGAAGAAGCTGGTGTGAGGTGATTATATCATAGGGTGGTCTCCCCCATGCTGTTCTTGTGATGGTGGGGCAGTTCTCATGAGACCTTGATGGTTTAAAAGTGGCAGTTTCTCCTGCATGCTTTTTCTCTCCTGCCACTTTGTGAAGATGATGCTTGCTTCTCCTTCGCCTTCTGCCATGACTGTAAGTTTCCTGATGCCTCCCCAGCCATGTGGAACTGTGAGTCAATTAAACCTTTTTTCTTTATTAATTACCCAGTCTCAGGTAGTATCTTTATAGCAGTGTGAAAATGGACTAATACAATCATAAAGCAAGAAAGTGACCTCATGGCAGGATGCACGGGTGGTTACACAGTTTGTTGGAAATCCTTGGTAAGTTTAATTCAGCTGGGCGCGTTGGCTCATGCCTGTAATACCAGCACTTTGGGAGGCCAAGTGGGGTGGATTACCTGAGGTCAGGAGTTCAAGACCAGCCTGGTCAACATGGTGAAACCTCGTCTTTACAGAAATACAAAAAGTAGTCAGGCATGATGGTGGATACCTGTAATCCCAACTACTCAGGAGACTGAGGCCGGAGAATTGCTTGAACCCCGGGGGTGGAGGTTGCAGAGAGCCAAGATCGCGCGATTGCATTCCAGCCTGGGCAACTCCGTCTCAAAAAAAAAAAAAGTTTAATTCTCATAATTTGGAGGGTGTCCTGCTGGAAGAATCACACACAAGATTAAAAAGCGACCAGTAAGCCTAAGGCTTTTGACATGAAGTGAAAAGGGGCGATCAGGAAGAGGACAGGCTGGTGGAAGCCTTGCTTATTTCCAGTGTAGGCTTATGACTGTTCTGTTGCCTAGTTACAACTCTGGTAGCAAGTCAGGGAATTGTGGATGTGGATAATAATTTTACTACTTCCTGACTTAATTTATATCATTGAAATGTTGCTACATCTTCTTTTGAGAACCTAAAAAATACAAGCTGAAGAAAAATAAGAACAAATTCAACCTCCCCATCCCACCCTTTTTCTTATCTCCATTAGCCAGCATTAAATATTTGAGCAAAAAAAATGATTGGAATGATTATAATGCTTACCTGGTAAATGAAAGAGAAAATAGTGAAATTCTGCAGAGTTAATAGCAAGCAAAATCTTGTTTTTAACAAACAAACAAACAAAAAACCTTTGTAGATGATTTTAATGTGCCACAGCATGAATAATTATGTTTAAAACGTGGCAATAAAATAAAAAGAGACAAGAAGGAGGTGCCTGCCATGAAAGCCAGAATTGAAAACTTCTTTTGAAGTTATAAAATATCATTAATCTTTGAGTGAAGTAAAAACAATCCTCCCTCTATTCTCACACAGACAGCTGCTAATAGTTAGGTAGTTTCAGGAAAAAAAATATTTTGACATGGAAAATGGCAGTGCTTTCAGCATGGGCAACTATGCCTAGAATCCAAACTGATTCAACCAGTGAAATATTTTTTAAAACAATATCATTTAAAAGATTTTTAAATCAGTATTTTAAAGTTATCTGTAATATTTTTGCTTAATTATTTCTGTACTATAGTAATACATTTTATAATCAGTTTCTCATTACCCATTATAGAAATAATGGTCAATATCAAAGAAATCATCTGTCATGTCACAAATTGATTTTTGTCTTACTTTATCACAATCTACATGAGTATGTTAAGTTTAATATTGCTTAATGTTTAAATGTCAAATGCCACTATGGAGTTGCACTCTTAGTTTACATATTTCTATTTTTATATATGATCATTGATTTAAATGAAAATCTCTGCCGAATTTAACAAGACTCCTGTCCGTGGGCACGTGATCATTTTTATGGTTTCCCCAGAATCAATATCTTACTTTTCCAGATTAGCTAGTCACAATAAACTTTTCCTTTTGTTTTCAAGGCCTAGGCCATCGCTTTGGATGAGAACTGATTTCAGCGCAGTTTAAGAGAACTATTATTCTATTCTTGCTGGACACTGGTCTTCAGGGTTCTTCATCATGCTGACACAGTTAACATAATACAAAGTTGTGTTCTATAAACAGTAGATTTATTCATGAAACATACTTGAAATGGCTACTGCCTCTTAAAAGAGACATTTCCGTTTCAGCAAATCATTGTAAAAATTGGAAGAAAATAGAAAATTATTTGCTGTACTTCTTTGTTTTAAATACTCAGAACTAGAGTAATAAAGAAATTTAGAATTTCTTTAATTATTAGCAATTCAACGTTTATTGAGTTCTAATACATAGAGAGCTCAATTAGAGGTATTATCTAATATTTCATAGAAAGTAAAATGGTAATCCCTAAATGAAAATCCAGTTTTTGTTGTGTGTGCTCATACTTAAAGACAATATTCAATGTATTAAGCAGTTTTTTAACAGTGTAATAAAGTCTCCTTTTTAGATTTAGCAGTAAAGGGCACTATACATAAAACACCCAGCATTATGCAACCTGGCAAAAATAGGAATAAAATAAATTATAGTAATTATTAATATTAACAAAAGTATTACAGCTAATTTTGTCATATTCTTTTGTCTTCAAAATAGTTATTAGTGCCTATAACTAAAATAAAGATTTGACTATGATGTTTCCACAAATTTCTTATTCTTTTATGTGTCTACATTTCTTCCTAATAAGGTAAGCTTCTTTCCTACAAAACAGACTTAACCCTGAATTTCTGCCTAACCTTATAGACAATGTATTAATATAGTCACAGCATTTTTTCTTGTTTGGCCCTATATTATGAAGTTCAAATTATTAACACTATATATTTTCCTTGTTGTTCATATGCCAAATAATGATATGCTAAAATTAATATTTTTGCTTAAATTGGTGAACTATACACTATATAAATATAAATGTGAGTTATGGGCATTTAATTATATGTAACTATCTGATTTGAATTTAATCTAAAATTAAAGTATAAACATTATTTTCATGATTGGACTTTCAGATGGAATTGTTAAATATATTTCTAAAACTAACATTTTTGACATAATCCCTATTAATCCTACAGTAGTATAGCTGTGGAAGCGTAGCATAAATGAAAGAAACATTGGTTTTGAAGTCAAAGTGAGTATAGACCCTTGCCATATTTCCAAAGAATCTAAGCTGAGTGGAGTATGACATGGGCCCTGGGGACATAAAAGCAGAATTGTCTTACGCATCCTGTGAAGAAACGTTATAACTGCTAAGAGACTTTGAACATTTAGCTTAATTTTGGTAAAATTACAATTATAGTGACACCTATTCTACTTGTTGTGTGGATCACATTAGATAATAGATGGGCAATGCCTTAAAAATTACAAAGTGTTGGGCCAATGTTGGTCATTATTTGAACCTCTTCCATGTAATTTAAATTGTTTTCAGATTTCTGGGTTTTTTTTTTTTTTTTAAGTCATCTATCTTTGATGATAGCACGAAATACAACGTTGAAGTGTTAAGCTATAATTTTAAAAGGGCCCCCAAGTATGGTAAAATCCTGACGACTATAAGAGAGAAGACAAAGAGAAAATCTCAGGCAGAGTTGGCAGGACACAGAGTTCTTGAAAGTAAATATAAACTTCCAAAGTCAAAATCAATAACCTATTGCTTAAATCAAATAGAATGGATAGGCTGGGTGGTATCTGAAGCTCCTGAGCTTCCATTTCATCGTGTTTTAGAAGGGGAGGCAAGACTGAATGAGGAAATGTAACAACGTGGCATCTTTTCCAGAAATAATCCTTTGGCCTGTCAGTGTGGTGGAGGAACTCTCAGTGTATGATGGTTCTAAAACTGTCCATTTTCATCCAGCAAAATAAAGATACATGTGCATGTGCATGTGCGAGCGTGCGCACACACACACACACACCTTTTGTCATATTGATTTTTTTTTCTTGTGAGCTATGGAGACTTCCAAGATGCCAGTTGAAATAAAATCCCAGCTACTAAAAGCCAAAACACTGAGCAGAGATATATGTACCATGTACTACATGGAGATAGGTGTCACAGTTTGAGTTCAGGCAAGTTAGAGACTATTAGCAAAAATTCAACAATTCTCAGAAGAGGAAAACACATTGCAGCATGGTTACAGTGTCTAATATTCAACTAAAGTTTATAAGTCATACAAAAAAATTTACAAAAAGATTAAAGCTGTCAAGATAAATTCATTTGAAGTGGGACTGGGAGTTAAATATAACAGTTATAAAATTCAAAATAGTACTACAAATATTTTCAAAAAAATAAACCTTGTTCAAATAATTAAAGAATAAACATCATATTAATGAGTAAATATATAGTGATATCAATAAATAAAAATAAAAAACTGAAAATTCTGTATCTAAAAATTATAACTAAAAGAAAAACCTGATGATAAATTCAACTGCAGATTTTAAGTGGCATATAAAAAATTAGTGAGCTTGCAAATAGATCTATAAAAATTATTCCCTCTGATACATAGAAAGGAAGCAAATATAGAAGAAAATAAAAATGTTTTGCAACAATATCAACTGGTACAGCACACATGTAATTAGAGTCCGAGAAGGAGAGGACTGAAATAAATGAGAGAAAAAAAATTAAATAAATAATTGAATAGAAGTTTCTAAATTTGTTGACAAACATAAACTTACAAATGCAAGAATCTTTGTGAAACTCAGGTAGAAGGAAAACAGAGAAAATCATACTCAGGCACATCAAATTCAAACTAATGAAAACCAGAAATAATCAGAAAATTAGAAAGCAGCAAAAGAAAATGACATATTACATGTGGCATATATGACATATGACAAATAACAATATGATTAGCATCAGGACAGAAGATATTGGAATGATATATTTAAAACGCTGAAAGAAAAAAGCCTATAATTCAAGATACCTATAGTCAGAGAAATTATTCTAAACTAAAGCTAAAATACTTAGCTAAAGCTAAAATTATTTTTGATTAAAATAATTGCTATTAAATAGTGCAGAATTGCACTATGTAAAATGCTATAGAAAGTTCTTCCAACTAAGGAAAACTGCATCATATGGTAATTCAGACATACAGGAAATAAGAACAACAGAAAGGATATGTGTGATATATGAGTTATTTTACATGTACAGACACATACTTTTTTATTGACTTCTTACAAAATATATGCATATTTAAAGTGAAATTTATACTACTATACTCTTGGGATTATATTGTATGTAGATGAAAACATTCCAAAGAAAGGAGGGAGAAACAGAACTAGACTGTTGAAAATTTTCCATATTGAACTGGAAGCAGTTAAATAGTAATTACATAGATTTTGGTGAGTTAAAGTTGCATGTTTAATACCCAGAGCAACCACTAGTGAAACAAAAAGACATGTTAGAATGTCAATACAAGATTTGTAATGGTATAATGCAGAATATTTGGTTAGCATGAAAGAAAGCACGAAAGAAAGGGGAGAAGAACAAAACAGAAATGAAACAAATTTAAAAACACAGCAAAATGACAGACTTGAAACCCACACTATAAATAATTTTATTAAATGTGAATTGACTAAACACACAAAATAAAAGTCAAAAAAATGCCAAACTGGATTTAAAAGCAGAACTCTACTGCTGTCTAAAAGAGACACAAATGAAATACAGAAACACTAGCAAGTTGAAAGAAAAAGGATAGAAAACAGTGTAAATTTAGAAGTAAGCATAAGAAAGCTAGAGTTGTTATGTTAACATATGACCAAAATTTTTAGCAAAGGAATATTTCTCTTTTTTTGTTATACTTTAAGTTCTAGGGTACATGTACACAACGTGCAGGTTTGTTACATAGGTATACATGTGCCATGTTGGTTAGCTGCCCCCATCAACTTGTCATTTACATTAGGTATTTCTCTTAATGCTATCCCTCCCCCAACCCCCTACCCCCTGACAGGCCCTGGTGTGTGATGTTCCCTGACCTGTGTCCATGTGTTCTCGTTGTTCAACTCCCACCTATAAGTGAGAACAAGCGGTGTTTGGTTTTCTGACCTTGTGATAGTTTGCTTAGAATGATGGTTTCCAGTTTCATCCATGTCCCTGCAAAGGACATGAACACATCAACTCACCCTTTTTTATGGCTACATGGTATTCCATGGTGTATATGTGCCACATTTTCTTAATCCAGTCTATCATTGATGGACATTTGGGTTAGTTCCAAGTCTTTGCTATTGTGAATAGTGCCACAATAAACAGACGTGTGCATGTGTCTTTATAGTAGCATGATTTCTAATCCTTTGGGTATATTCCAGTAATGAGATTGCTGGATCAAATGGTATTTCTAGTTCTAGATCCTTGAGAAATTGCCACATTGTCTTCCACAATGGTTGAACTAATTTACACACCCACCAACAGCGTAAAAGCGTTCCTATTTCTCCACATCCTCGCCAGCCATCTGTTGTTTCCTGACTTTTTAATGATTGCCATTCTAACTGGCATGAGATGCTATCTCATTGTGGTTTTGACTTGCATTTCTCTGATGACGAGTGATGATGAGCATTCTTTCATATGACTGTTGGCTGTGTAAATGTCTTCTCTTGAGAAGTGTCTTTTCATATCTTTTGCCCACTTTTTGATGGAATTGTTAGTTTTTTACTTGTAAATTTAAGTTCTTTGTAGATTCTGGATATTAGCCCTTTGTCAGATGGGTAGATTACAAAGATCTTCTCCCATTCTGTAGGTTGCCTGTTCACTCTGATGATGGTTTCTTTGGCTGTGCAGAAGCTCTTTAGTTTAGTTAGATCCCATTTGTCTATTTGGGTTTTTGTTGCCATTGCTTTTGGTGTTTTAGTCATGAAGTCTTTGCCAATGCCTATGTCCTGAATGGTATTGCCTAGGTTTTCTTCTAGGATTTTTATGGTGTTAGGTCTTACATTTAAGTCTTTAATCCATCTTGAGTTAATTTTTGTATATGGTGTAAGGAAGGGATCCAGTTTCAGCTTTCTACATATGGCTAGCCAGTTTTCCCAGCACCATTTATTAAATAGGGAATCCTTTCCCCATTGCTTGTTTTTGTCAGGATGGTCAAAGATCAGATGGTTGTAGATGTGTGGTGTTATTTCTGATGCCAATATTCTGTTCCATTGGTGTATATATCCGTTTTGGTATCAGTACCATGCAGTTTTGGTTACTGTAGCCTTGTAGTATAGTTTGAAGTCAGGTAGCATGATGCCTCCAGCTTTGTTCTTTTCGCTTAGAATTGTCTTGGTTATGCATGCTCTTTCTTGGTTCCATATGAACTTTAAAGTCGTTTTTTCCAATTCTGTGAAGAAAGTCCGTGGTAGCTTGATGGGGAGGCCTTGAATGTATAAGTTACCTTGGGCACTGTGGCCATTTTCATGATATTGATTCTTCCTATCCATGAGCATAGAATGTCCTTCCATTTGTTTGTGTCCTCTTTTATTTTGTTGAGCAGTGGTTTGTAGTTCTCCTCGAAGAGGTCCTTCACATCCCTTGTAAGTTGGATTCCTAGGTGTTTTATTCTCTTTGTAGTAATTGTGAATGGGAGTTCACTCATGATTTGACTCTCTATTATTGGTGTATAGGAATGCTTGTGATTTTTGCACATTGATTTTGTATCCTGAGACTTTTCTGAAATTGCTTATCAGCTTAAGGAGATTTTGGGCTGAGACAATGGGGTTTTCTAAATATACAATCGTCATCTGCAAACAGAGACAATTTGAGTTCCTCTTTTCCTAATTGAATACCCTTTATTTCTTTCTCTTTCCTGATTGCCCTAGCCAGAACTTCCAACACTATGTTGAATAGGAGTGGTGAGAGAGGGCATCCAGCAAAGGAATATTTCTACAGGAGACATCAAACATATCATAAAATTAAAAAGGTCAATACAACAAGAAGATACAGCAGTTGTAAATGTATATGCACCTAATAGAAAACCTCCCAAAACTGACAAAACTGAAAGGAGAAATAATTCTGACATTGTAGAAATGGTTGGATGTTTAAAATATTTGTGTGTAGAATAGAAAACTGAAATTAAGGTATTTTCAGTGAAAATGAATGTTTTTAACATTGCCAAAGTAGAATTGAGGGTATTTGGATTCTGGGGATAAAGGAGGCTATTAAGTGGTTCTGGGGTTTGTATCTGAATGAACAGAAGGATAATAATTCCAAAATGAGATTGGGAACAAAGTGTAGGCATTCTTTTCTAGAAGAGGATCAGTAAGGCATTTATGATACTAAAGTGTAGTGACCAAACTCTTCCTTTCTTGATATAGTATTCTCAGCACCCACTGGGACTTTCTGTTCTTTTGTTGTTGTTGTTGTTGTTGTTGTTTTGTTTTTGAGACTGAGTCTCACGCTGTCACCCAAGCTGAAGTGCAGGGCATGATCTTGGCTCACGGCAACCTCCGCCTTCTGGGTTCAAGAGATTCTCCTGCCTCAGCCTCCTGAGTAGCTGGGATTACAGGTGCCCACCACCACACCTGGCTAATTTTTTGTATTTTTAGTAGAGACGAGGTTTCACTATGTTGGCCAGACTGGTCTTGAACGCCTGACCTCGTGATCCACCCACCTTGGCCTCCCACAGGGGACTTTCTGTTCTTTAGGGAAATCATTTAACTTCTATTAGCTTTAGATGACATTTCTATTTGAGACAGAAAAAGAGTGTGTATGTGTGTGTGTGTGTGTGTGTGTGTGTGTGAGAAATTAACCAAAAGCCTGACATCATAACATTATCACAATGTTGCTATATTGCAGTAAGGATAAAGACCTCACCTATGCAAATATAAATAGCTCTGTTATTATTCAAATAACACATACTCTATTCACATAGAATATTTGCTTAAACTATACTGCTATCTTTTTTTAGAGCATGTTTTTCCTGTAACCAAAGGCAGGCTCTGTGTGTCTAAAGGTGCTCTGAGGTCATAGTTCAGGAGAGCATCATTTGTCCCAGGAAGGAAGTCCGTCCTAGTCAGTCCTTGTTTTCCTCTCTCACCTTTCACTCCAGATTTAGCTGCCGTATAAAGTAACTTGCTTCAGGTTTAGGCAAACCAGCTTAAGAGTAAGTAGGGGAAAAAATTAGAGAAGTTTATAAAATATATTTTTACACAAAACAGGAGATTAAGCATTTGTAAAAACTACCACAATGCAAGGTAGTATGTGGGGATATCCTGATATTAGTGCTGAATCCTACCACAGTTAATAGGAACGAGGAAACATTCTTGCTTTCTACTGGAGCACACAGGGAAGACTTTAGGGTGAAAGTGACATTAAGTTGGCTCTTAAACATGTGACCCTTCATGCTTAACCTCCCTTGAAAGTCCCCTCCTTTTTTTCTCTCCTTTCGTTTATGGCACCTCATGGGCTTTCTGTTCCCTCAGGTACAGGCTCCCTTATGGGCTTTCTGTTCTCTCTCTAACCCTCATCAAAATGGGCTGCCAACTAAAAAGTTGAGAAAGTTGTAAATAAACATTAGAACTAGAGCTATTATAGTTACCTTCTTTCCTGGATATTTGTAGTTTAACATGTAGGGAACACATTAATACATACCCAGGGGTAGAATTTCAGAAATTTACAATAGTAGTAAAGATAATTTTCAGGATAAGGCCCGTGTCAGCAGCTGGGAAATCAGCTCTGCCTATCGATTTTAAATGACCCACAATCTATAAGTACATTCCAAAAGTATGAATCAGAAAAGTAACAGAATGGCAACTGAAACATGACCCCTTTTTTTGTTCATCTTTAAAAAGATCAGAAGAGAGTAGCACTTTATTATTGTGCAACATGCCAATGTCAGGACAGAATCCAAAGAATTTTTAAGAGGATGTGAAAAAAATGACTAGAGAGAGCTTTCCTTATTGTGTCTTGAGTGAATGCTGGTCAAAGAAAAATATCACTTACATACCTTAGAGGTATATAGAAATGTG